ACACCGGCCCCCTTCGAACTTGGCACTGTGGGACAGATTTACCTACTGAGACATGATCGACCCACGAACCCGGAGAGGAATACAAAATGTAAGGTATGACACCTGATTGAGCGACGGGCACATGCAATGCTGAATACATGTATAGGTAGAGAGAGAGAGAGAGAGGATATGCTGCGGCGTTTGCTATTTGAAATCTGCCGACTTGCCCCACTTGCCCCACTTGCTCAATTGGCCCGACTTGCCCCACTTGCCCCACTTGCCCCACTTGCCCTCCCTCCCTCCCTCCTCCTCCTCCTCCCTCCCTCCTCCTCCTCCTCCTCCTCCTCCTCCTCCTCCTCCTCTCCTCCTCCTCCTCCCCTCCCTCCTCCCTCCCTCCCTCCCGCCCGCCCGCCCGCCCGCCCTCCCTCCCTCCCTTCCTCCCTCCCTCCCTCCTCATCCTCCTCCTCCTCCTCCTCCTCCTCCTCTTACTCCTTCTCCCCCCACTTGCCCCACTTGCCTCACTTGCCCCACTTGCCCCGCCCGCCCGCTCTCCGTTGCGCAAATGAGGAGGCCCACTTGCCTTGGCCCACTTGCCCCACTTGCCCCGCTTGCCCCACTTGGGCAAGTGGGGAAAGTGGGGCAAGTGGGGCAAGTGGGTGCAAGTGGGGCAAGTGGGGCGCATGTCAAATAGCGTAACACCACTGCATCTGCAATCTATATATACATATATACATATACATATACATATGTATCGATCTTGATGTACCGTGCCGAAGGCTGTGCTGTGCTGCGCCGTGCTGGATTGCGATGTGCCATGCCGCGATGTTGCTCTATAGCGTTGTGGATCGAGTCCCCATTCGCATCCGAGTCCTGACCGACTTGATCTGGATCTTAAGCTCGAGGTGCCTGGGCACATAGTAGCTGCCCCAGAGCTAATAACTAATTGACAGGGGGACATGCCAGGAGGACGCGCCGCGGAAGGTCCCGAGGGACGCGCCAGACGACGTGCCAGGGGACGTGCCACGGGGACGCATCGCGGGTCGTGCCAAGGAGACGCGCTACGGAACGTGCCAGTGGGCGTGCCGCGGGACGTGCCAGGGGAATCGCCGCGCGACGTGTCAGGCGGACTCGCAAGGGGACGCGCCACAGAGCGTGCGAGGAAACTTGCCAGGTTGCAATGCTGAATGTATCGATCTTGAGGTACCGTGCCGAAGGCTGCGCTGTGCTGCGCCGTGCTGAACTGCGATGTGCCATGCCGCGATTGAACTCTATAGCATTGTGGATCGAGTCCCCCTTTGCATCCGAGTCCTGACCGAACTGATCTGGATCTTAAGCTCGAGCTGCCTGAGCACCTAGTACGTAGCTGCCCCAGCGCTAATTGACAGGGGGACATGCCAGGAGGACGCGCCACGGAACTTCTCAAGGGATGCGCCAGGCGACGTGCCAGGGGACGTGCCATGGGGACGCACCGCGGGACGTGCCAAGGGGGCGCGCCACGGAACGTGCTAAGGGACGTGCCACGGGACGTGCCAGGGGACGCGCCGCGCAACGTGCCAGGGGGACTCGCCACGGGACGCACAACGGAACATGCCAGGGAACGTGCCAGGTTGCAATGCTGAGTGTATCGATCTCGATGTATCATGCCAAGGACTGTGATGTGCCCGGGCGACCTGGACACGTGAAAACGAACGTTTCGCTCAAAACAATCTCGACACATCCTCATGCTAGACATCCGCCTGGGCGGCCTGGACACGCGCAAACAAGCGTCTCGCTCGAGACATCCTCAACAAATCATCATGCTAGACATCTGCCTGGGCAACCTGGACGCGTGAAACCAAGCGTCTCGTTCGAGACACCCTCAAGACCTGGGAACGTGAAAACAAGCACTTCACTTGAGAGATCCTCTGACATCTGGTCTCTGGTCCCCAGGAGAGGACAATCTAGAACACAAAACTAGCGTTTCGCTCAAGACATCCTCAACAAGTTCTGAAAAACAGGCGTTTCGCTCGGGACGTCCTCGAAGTTTAATTAGCGGGCCCTCTTCGACCCCGTCATGTATCGCAGAAGAGATTCGCCAACCCACTTCGCACTTGGCACAAGGGACAAGTTTACCTACTAAAAATGAAGCCTCGGCCCAAGCCCTTTCCGGGAATTACGCTGCGTCCGCGCTCGCAGGCCCCCGTTGCCCAGTAAAGTATGCTGCGTCCGCTCTCCCAGGGCCACGATCCATCGTAAATTGAGCTGCGTCCGCGCTCCCAAGGCCAGGATCCCTCGCAAACTACGCTGCGTCCTCGCTCCCAGGGCCACGATCCGCTGCAAATTAAGCTGCGTCCGCGCTCCCAGGACCACGATCCCATGTAAATTACACTGCGTTCGCGCTTCAAGGGCCACGATCCCTCGTAAACTACGCTGCGTCCGCGCTCCCAGGGCCGCGCCCCATACTGGATTACGTATGTCCTCGCTCGCAGGACCACGTTCCCCAATAAATTACACTGTGTCCGCCCCCACGATCCCTTGTAACTTACGCTGCGTCCGCGCCCCCAAGGCCACGATCCGTTGTATATTAAGCTGCGTTCGCGCTCCCAAGACCACTTTCCCTCGTAAATCACGCTGCGTCCGCGCTTCCAGGGCCACGATCCCTCGTAAACTACGCTGCGTCCACGATCCCTGGGCCACGATCCCTTGTAAAGTATGCTACGTCCGCTCTCCCTGGGCCACGATCCGTCGTAAACTACGCTGCGTCTGCGATCCCAGGGCCACGACCCCTTGTAACGTACGCTGCGTCCGCTCTCCCAGGGCCACGATCCATCGTAAACTACGCTGCGTCTGCGATCCCAGGGCCACGACCCCTCGTAACGTACGCTGCGTCCGCTCTCCCTGGGCCACGATCCATCGTAAACTACACTGCGTCCGCGCTCCCAGGGCCACGATCCCTCGTAGATTACGCTGCGTCCGCGCTCCCAAGGTAGCGCTCCATAGTAAATTACGTGCCGTCCGCACTCCGAGGGCCACGTTCCCAAGTGAACGGCGCCCACGCTCCCAGGGCCACGACCCCTCGTAGGCGCCCGCGCTCCAAAGTCCGCGATCCCTTGTGAATTACACGGCGCCCGCACTCCCAGCGGCACGATCCCTCATAAAATATACGGCGTCCGCACTCCCAGGACCAGGATCCCGAGCAAATTGCGCTGGACTTGCGTTCCCAAGGCCGCGATCCCTCATAAATGATTTTGGGTTTGCGCTCCCAAGGCCAGGATCCCTCATAAAGTACGCGGCTTCCGCGCTCCCAAGGCCAGGATCCCTCGTAAATTACGCGGCGTCCGCGCTCCCAAAGCCGCGACCCCTCGTAAATTACGCTGGGTTTGCGCTCCCAGAACCCCTCTGGGCATCCTGGAGCGCCCGGGCCCGTCAAATGTTGCAAACCGAGCGCTTCGCCCGAGCCATGCCCAGAAGTTCTGCGCGCGGGACGCGCCATCCTCGAGCGGGCACGCAACAGTTCAACAGTTTCACATGTCGGGGGTCTCGGTCGGGGCTCCAAACCTTGGCTTTTCTTGCGAGGTTTCTGATAAAACTGCCGAGCACCCTCCCTTCTACGGGGGAAGACCGGTGTCTGCAAACACCGTTGTTGATCGAGGATCCGAGATGGGGGGCGCACTGTCCTCGAGCGGGCACGCGCAAAACGCACTTGCGTCCACGCCGAATGGGACTGCACCGCACGATCGAACGGAAAGCTGACCGGACAAGAACGGGAAGCGTCCTTTTGTGTCGTGGGCTTATGAGAGATCCTACGTTCTGAATATGCGCTGCGCAAGTCTGTCGTGGCGTGCGTGCGCTTGCGCGTGCGCGTGAGTGCGTCGAACATGTGCATGTGTGTCCGTGCGCGGTGGTCTGCGGCACTGCTGTGTTATGCCGTGTTGCCCTGTCGTGCTCTTGCAGTCTGCGTAAACGTATGTTGCCTCTCTCTCTCTGTGTGTGCGTGTGTGTGCGTGTGTGTATGTGTATGTGTGTGCGTGGGCGTGTGCGTGTGCCTATGTGCGTGTGCCTATGTACGTGCGCCTGTGGGTACGGCTGTGCGAACACATGCTCTATGTGTTCTGCCGTGCTCCTGTGTGTTATGCCGTGCTCCTGTGTGTTCTGCCGTGCTCTTAATTAGTCTGCCATGGTCCTGCTTTGCCGTGCTCCTATGTGTACCGCCGTGCTCCTAAGTGTTCTGCCGCGTTCCATCTACTCTGTGTGTTCGGCGATGTTCCTCGTGATCCTGCGTGTTCTGCCGTGCACCTGTGTGTTCTGCCGTGCTCCTGCGCGTGTTGTCGTGCTCCTGTGCGTTTTGCCGTGATCCTGCGTGTTCTGCTGCGCTCCTGTGTGTTCTGCCGAGCGCTTATGTGTTCTGCCGTGCTCCTGTGTTTTGCCGTGCTCCTGTGTGTTCTGCCGTGCTCCTGTGTGTTCTGCCGTGCTCCTGAGTGTTTTGTGTGGTCTGCTGCGCTCCTGTGTGTTCTGCCAGGCTCCTGCATGTTCTGCCGTGCTCCTATGTACTCTGTGTGTTCGGCCGTGTTCCTCGTGATCCGGCGCGTTCTGCCGTGCTCCTGCGTATTATGCCATGGTCCTGCTCTGCCGCGCCCCTAAATGTTAAAGTTGAAAACGGGGACTTCCAGGCGCAGGGGGGGGAAAGGAAAAAAAACGAGGGGCCACCAGGGGCACAGCGCCGCCCGAGACACGCCCTCCCGAGAGGGGCCGCCTAAGGCCGCCTCTCCCCGCGGGGGCCGCACTGGGCCTCCACCGCGGCCGCGCCACAAGGCGAGAACAGACCTACATACAGAATGCAACTGCCCGCCTCACTCACTACTCTTGGGCCGCGTCGCGCAACGCGCACGGGCCAAGAGACCATCGAGGTGCCGCGCGCGCTCCTCGGCATCTGGACAACCTGCACTGCCGAGGCGAACGCCGAGGGCGCGGGCCTCGGCCCAGTCCAGGAGTGACTCAACTCCCGACTTCGGCCCCTGGGCCGCACGCGCCACCGCCGCCACCGAGGTCGCCCAGGAGCAAAACAAACCCGCACTCCGCGGCGGCAGCGGTCGGCGGCGCCAGCACCTGCTCCTCGAACGTCTCGCCCTTCTGCGCGAAGAGCGGCTCGATGAACGGACTCTCGCCGAGCACCTGGTCGACGCCAACCTCGACGCGGATGACGCCCAGCACCGTCTCGCCCTTCTGCGCGCAGAGCGGCTCGATGAACGCGTACTCGCCGAGCCCCTGGTCTACGCCCACGTCGTCGCTGATGACGTCCAGATGACGTCCAGCACCTGCTCCTCGGACGTCTCGCCCTTCTGCGCGAAGAGCGGCTCGATGAACGCGTTCTCTCCGAGCACCTGGTCGACGCCCGCGTCGTTGCTGATGACGTCCATCGACTGCTCCTCGAGCGTCTCTCCCTCCTGCGTGAAGAGCGGCTCGATGAACGCATTATCGCCGAGCACCTAGTCGAGGCCCACGTCGCCGCCGGTGACGTCCAGCACCTGCTCCTCGAACGTCTCGCCCTTCTGAGTGAAGAGCGACTCGAAGAGCGCCTTCTCGCCGAGCACCTGGTCGACGGTCTCCTTCACCTCGTCGACGCCCTTCTCACCGGCCACCTGGGTCACCTCGAGCGCGGCCAACAGGGCGGACTCCCGCGCCCTGGCTGCCGCCTCGCCAATGCAGCTGGGGGCAAAGGCGGGCGCCTCGGCACGCAGCGCCGCGCCGTGGCCCGCGACGACGCACTCGAAGGCCTGCGCTCGCAACGGCAGGCCGCCAGACAACTGCGGGGCGCCTCCTGCAGCCTCCGGGGGGGGGCGCGTGCCGGGCGCGGTGGCCGAAGCGCAGCGCGTCCTCGACCTCCAGAAGCTCGTCGCGCGGCCACTGGAGGAGCCTGGCCGCTGCCAACGCCTCTCCGACGCTGGGGTAATGCACCCCCAGCCGATCGCATAATCGCCAGTGTGCACGGAGCGAGGCTCGGAGCGCCTTGCCGCGCGACACCAGCGCGGCGGCGCGAGACGCTCCGAGCTCCTGTCGAACTTCTCGGCGGCGTCGCCGTGCGAGCGTCCGCGCGCTCGCAGCCGCCCATGTCTTGCCGCCCGCGCCAAGCGCGGCGGCCATGGCCGCTGGCGCGCCGCGGCGCGGCGTCCGCGGCGCGCACGAGGGCCTCCCGAAGCGCGGCTCGCTTGAGCCAACATGGCTACGGATTGTGCTCCTAAATGTTCCGCCGTGCACCTATGTGTTCTGCCGTGCTCTTATGTGCACTGCCGTGCTCCTGTTTGTTCTGCCGCGCTCCTGCTTGTTCTGCCGTGCTCCTAAGTGGCTGGTGCGTTCTACTGTGCTCCTTCTCGTTCAGCCGTGCTCTGCCGTGCTCCTCCTGCTCTTGTGTTCTGCCGTGCTCCTGTGTGTTCTGCAGTGCTCCTGCGTGGTCTGCCGTGCTCCTGTATGTTATGTTTTCTGTGTGTTGGTCGGTTGGTTGGTGGGGCCTTAAAGGCAGGAAATTGAGAGATAGACCGAGGGGCCTCCAGGGGCCTCCAGCGCCACCCGAGACACGCCCTCCCAAGCGGGGCCACCTAGGGCCGCCTCTCAACACGGGCCAGGGAAGGCGGACGGCAAAGCCACTGGCTCTGGCCCCCAACCCGCCCAAGCCAATCATGCAAGCACTGCGAGAACAGAAGCTACACATGATCACTACCCAAGCTCGACTGCATTGAAAATACACAACGAGCACATTCAAATGCAGGGGGCATAACTCACTGAACAATCACTCACGATCCCAATCTCCATTCCAAGATGAGGCGACAAATGATCCCTCGACTCAAAGAAATCCTGGGGCTCCACCTCGATCGACTCCTCGAGGCTGGCCTCCCAGGCTTCATCCCTGGTCCTCAGTCGGGCTTCCAACTTTGGCAGCTGGCGGCCTCAGAGACCAGACTCACGAATGAAATCATGCCAGGCGAGGCGGCCCCCAGACTCCTTGAGGACGAGAGGTAGGCCTGCACTGCGCCTCACCCCGACGGAATCTATCTCGAGCCAACCCGCCTTCCAGCGCAGGAGCTGCGCTTCCTTCTGAGCAGCCCGCAGCTGCTCCTGCAGGGAGCAAATGTGAGCTACCTTCGACCAGTCGGCGAGCCATCGCCGCACTTCGCCCTTGGCGTCCTCGGTCGGCAGGGCCAGCTCAGCGAGCCTCGCGGCAGCTCGACCGCCGTCTCCGTCTCCACGGAGGAGTGCGGCTTCGTTCTCGCCGAAGTAGTTCGCGATCACTCCACTGAGCGCCGACGCAGCGGTGGCGGAGCAGGCAGTAGCAGCATCGCAGTCGGCATGCTCCTGTCCCTGGCCGCCTACGCTGTCGTCGTCGCTGTCGTTGTGGCTGACGGCCTCGCCCAGGCGGCCACTGACGGACAACAACAGCGGCGAGAACTCGCCAGCCGCAGGCACGGCATGGTCCACGAAGGCGCCGCCATGGTCCACGAAGGCGCCGCCGTCGTCCCCGTCGCCGCCGCACTCGCTCGCGCCGTGGCTCTCGATGCCCAGCGCGCCCAGCAACAGGTCGTCGGGGTCGGCCCGCTGGCGCTCGCCCTCGGCCTCAGCTTCCAGAACAGCGAGCCGCCAGCCCGCCGCAACCCCCTGCGCGAAGGCCTGGCCCGCGGACGCCGCGACGAGGTCGAAGGCCTGCCACGCACCAGGCGCCAGCACCTCGGCCAGCGGAAGGGCGCGCGGTTCGACGCGGATCCCGGGGAGCGCCGAGGGCTCCTTCACATCGCCGCCGGCTGGCGCGTTGCCCCACTCGCGCACGTAGACCTCGTGCCACACCCCTGGCGGCCGCTCCACGGCCAGAGGCGCCGCGAGCGGCACAGCGCCCAGGACCTGGGTCTGCGCCAAGGCCGCCTCGGCAACCTCAGCGCGGCGCGCTTCGGCGGGGACAGGCCGCAGACGAGCTTGTCCTGGAGGCGGCGCGTGCCGCGCCCAGTTGCCCTCCTCGAGGTCGAACTGGGCATCAAGCAGCACTGCAGGCGCGGCGCCGAGCAGCCTCACAGCTGCCAGGGCGTCGCCGTGGCAGGGCGCGAAGCGCCGAGGACGTCGGCGAGTTGCCAGTGCGCCGCCAGCGCACGCCGCAGGGCCTTGGTCAGCTGCGCCAGCGCTGCGGCCCTGGTGAGCCCGAGCTCCTGGCGGCACGCGCGCCGCAAGCGCCGAGCCAGGGTGCGGGCAGACGCAGCCGCTCCGCACCCAGAGTGTCCCAAGGCCTCTGGCGGGCGCGCCCGCGCGCCCGAGGGCCTGCCGTGAGCCAGGCTCGCTTGAGCCAAAATGGCTACGGATTGTGTTCTGTGTGTTCTGCCATGCACCTGCGTGTTCTGCCGTGCTCCCATGTGTTTTGCCATGCTCCTATGCACCATGTGTGTTCTGCCGTGCTACTCGTGCTCCTGTGTGTTCTGCCGCGTTCCTGTGTGTTCTGCCGTGCTCCTGTTTATGCTGCCGTGCTCCCGCGAAGTGTGTGGGTTCTGCCGCGCTCTGGTATATTCTGCCGTGCTCCTGCGCGTCCTGCCGTGCTCTCTCGCGTTCTGCCGTGTTTATGTGTGTTTGGCTGCCGTGATCCTGCCCATGTCCTAAAGATGAGGCCTCTTGGCGGCATTTCGTGCGCACGGCAGATTTGCAGTTGTAGTGCAGCATGATATGTATAATGCTGATGATCGTTTTCCCATATGTTTTGTTCCACAGTTGTGTCCTACGCACCTCCGGGTGTATGACTTCTTGCTTGCTTGCTTTAACCCGCATGGTCTTACATCGTCCTTTTCAGCATCTCATTCGTCGAGCATGTTTCAGGCGATATCCCCATGTCCATACGTGTGTTAAATTCGTGGTGTCCATGTGCTGGTGGATGTCTCAGGCGAAATGTTTGTGTTTGTGAAAGACGGTGTTGCGAACAACTCATGTTTGTGAGGATGGCTCTGGCGAAATGCTAAGTTGGAGGAATCTTGAAATCTTGAGGGCGCTATTGGGGTCAGATTGGGCCTCGTTTGGGGCTCGTTTGGGGTTGCCTCGACGCCATCAAAAAACATGCCAATGCGATGCCACACACATCTCTTGTTTGAGGATGTCCCTAGCGAAATCGTCATGTTTAGAAGCCTGGCTTGGGCCGTCTGGAAGCCTGTTCAAAAGCGATCCCAAGACGATGTTAGAACAGCCGTTTTCGAAACGATGCTGTAGCATGTCTACATTGAGTGAGGATGTCTCTAACGAAATCGTCACGTTCGGCAGTTATCAGGGCAAGAACGATGTCAAGACGATATTGAGAATATCTCATTGTTTTGAGGTTGCCCCTAACGAGATGCAAATGTTCTGCCGTGCTCTTTTGTTCTGGTCCGCCGTGCTGCCGAGCATTTTCTGAGGATGTCCCTCAGCGAAAACGCAATGTTCATCACAAGCGGCAGTAGAACACCTCCGGAGACATCTCATTCCTAGTCCTAACCATCTGGTGTTGGGTCCTCGTTTTGAAGAGACAGCGCCCCGCGTCTCCTCTCCTCTCCTCTCCTCTCCTCTCCTCTCCTCCTCCTCCCCCTTGTCCTCCCCCTCCTCCCACCTCCCATCCGCCTCGTCACCTCCCTGCGTTTCACCCACCCAGGACAGCGTTTCGGGGCCCCATAGGGAGCTCCACCGAAGGCCCCAGCGGCAGGGTCCGCATGCGTCCCCCCGCCCATTTCGGCACACCCCTCATGAGGATCGCGGCCCCATAGGGAGCTCCACCGAAGGCCCCAACGACAGGGTCCGCATGCGTCCCACCCCCCATTTAGGCACACCCCTCACGAGAATCGTGGCCCCATAGGGACCTCCACCGAAGGCCCCCGCGGCAGGGTCCGAATGCGCCCCCCCGCCCATTTCGGCACACCCCTCACGAGGATCGTGGCCCCATAGGGAGTTCCACCGAAGGCCCCAGCGGCAGGGTCCGCATGCGTCCCCCCGCCCATTTCGGCACGCCCCTCACAAGGATCGTGGCCTCATAGGGAGCTCCACCGAAGGCCCCAGCGGCAGGGTCCGCATGCGTGCCCCCGCTCATTTCGGCACACCCCTCACGAGGATCGTGGCCCCATAGGGAGCTCCACCGAAGGCCCCAGCTGCAGGGTCCGCATGCGTCCCCCCGCCCATGTCGGCACACCCATCACGAGGATCGTGGCCCCATAGGGAGCTCACCGAAGGCCCCAGCGGCAGGGTCCGCATGCGTCCCCCCGCCCATTTCGGCACGCCCCTCACGAGGATCGCGGCCCCATAGGGAGCTCCACCGAAGTCCCCAGCGGCAGGGTCCGCATGTGTGCCCCCGCCCATTTCGGCACACCCCTCACAAGGATCGTGGCCCCATAGGGAGCTCCACCGAAGGCCCCAGCGGCAGGGTCCGCATGCGTCCCCACGCCCATGTCGGCACACCCCTCACGAGGATCGTGGCCCCATAGGGAGCTCACCGAAGGCCCCAGCGGCAGGGTCCGCATGCGTCCCCCCGCCCATTTCGGCACGCCCCTCACGAGGATCGCGGCCCCATAGGGAGCTCCACCGAAGGCCCCAGCGGCAGGGTCCGCATGTGTGCCCCCGCCCATTTCGGCACACCCCTCACCAGGATCGTGGCCCCATAGGGAGCTCCACCGAAGGCCCCAGCGGCAGGGTCCGCATGCGTCCCCCCGCCCATTTCGGCACGCCCCTCACGAGGATCGTGGCCCCATAGGGAGTTCCACCGAAGGCCCCAGCGGCAGGGTCCGCATGCGCCCCCCCGCCCATTTCGACACACCCCTCACGAGGGTCGTGGCCCCGTAGGGAGCTCCACCGAGAGCGGTACCCACAACGCGGCACTCACAAGTGCATGGTTGGGTCTTTCGCCAGGATAATAGTTATGAGGATGTCTCAGGCGAAACGCACATTGTCACAGATAAATGAATTTCGCGGCGATCCACTGCTCAAGGATCTCTCGAGCGAAACGCTTGTTGTTGTTAAACGCGATTTCGCGAAGATTTCATTTTTGTGAGGATGCCTCTTTAGGGGGGGGATCCGCTAGGAAATAATCAAATGCGATCCGCCACCATATATTACTAAGAACTGGATTAGATATGCTGCAGATTCAGCCACAACGTCCAGCTCGCTTCTCGTACCTCGAA